AACTGTCAAACTCAGAACTGGGGCCATACCCCTCCTGAAGCAATAACCACCTGGGATGGTGACAGACAAGAGCACCACAGCCAATGTCTCTCACTCCAAGTCTCAAGGACAAGCCCTGTTCCTCGTCTCAAATAGACAGATGTCTCCTTGTACAAGCTCCTCTGAGGACCTTTCCCAGGAGATAGGGTCTGTTTACCAAGGTGGCCACTCTGTGCAGGTCACACTGTTCATCTGATGGCCTGTGAGGATGAACCCCAGAGACCCTTCTGCCTGCTCCCAGTGTGCCACCTCTGGGGCTGTTGCTTCCACGCTCTGACCATCACACTCTCTAACTCTTCCTTGAGCCAACATTCTGGCCCAGTAACATGGAACTAGTTCTCATCCGCAGCCCTGGTGAGCTTGGCTGTGATGGTTGATTGACAGCAGGCTGGCTGGCTCTTAAAGAAACCCTTCTGCTGCATTTGCTGGTGTGACTCTAGCAAGGAAAAGGAGAAAAGGACCAGGACAGAGACAGACACACTCAACCTTCTGAGTGTGTCTACCCGCTGAGGAAAAGGTTCCCATGTTCCCCTCCAGCCAGTCCAGCACATGGGGTGGGCTGGAAAATCCAGGGTCCCACATGACCTTTCTCTTGCTGTGGCCCATCTACCTCCCCATACAGAATCACATACTTCTATTTCCTGCACTCTGGGCCATCCAGTCATTGCTGGGGCACAGCCAAGAAGAGTCCCCAAGACAGCAGATACAGACTATCTTCCTGGGTGGGCAAATCAACTGTACTTATAAGTTTTAGTTAACTTTCTTGCCATACCTACATTCTATGTTACTTTACCCAGTGAGCCTAGAAAGACGCATCCTTATCCTGGGAAGGGAAATAAGGAAGTTGAGGCTCTGAGGCTGTAGCCACCAACCATGGGGCTGGGGGGAGGGGGAGGAGACTGCTTCAAATGAAAGAAATTTAAAATTCACTTCCTAAATCTATCATGTTCCAAATGCTCAGGAGCCACAAATGGCTTGTGGCGACCATGTTGACAGCACAGAATCACAGAGCCCTTGATGTCACCGTGGAGGGTTCCATGGGGCGATGCACTGAGGGCCCCAGGCTGGGTAGGAACTGAGTAGCAGTCAGTGTTTAAGCTCAGACAGCTTGTCTATCCTGACCCTCTCTGCTGTGGAATCGAAGGAAGAGGTGAGATGGAGAGCGCCAGAGCACACTCCTTCAGTGATGCCTTCTGAAGACACAAGGCAGGACTCCTGAGAAGCATGAGACCTTCTGATGGTCACCTGCTTCACTGACTGCTGCTGTCCACATCGTGGGTCACCCAGTCGTGATGCTGTCATATCACCTGGGCAGAGACTCTTCCAGGCTGGAAGGGAGACCTGGGGATTATCTCCTCTTGACATTTCTGTCCCCTGTGTTCCTGGAGACGGGGACTCAGGCACGTGCTTGGACAATGAATGCCTTAGAACGCCTCCAAGTCCCTGAGATTTCTTGGAAGTGGTGGCGGTCACTCAAGGTAATTAATTGATTTACAAAAATTGTTGTGTGTTTCTTGCTTTTGAGACAGAGTCTCACTATGTATCCCAAGTTGTCTACAAGCAGGCCAGGTAGTGTAGGCCGGCATTGAACCCTCACTGTTCCTCTCAACTCAGCTTCCTGAATTTCTGGGAAACAAGCATGGACCATCATATCCAGTTTATGGGGTGCCGGTGATTGAACCCAAGGCTCCACGCATGTTTCATGGCTCCATGTCTTTCCCTTGATTTCCAGCCATTGTACCATTCACCGCAGCCTCCAGATGCTGCAGATGGAGACCCTAGGGTCCCAGAGAGGGCTCCCTTAACCAGTGAGGGTTTCACTTGATGAAGTGATGTTTGAAGTGTCTGCAGCCTCTGGCTTCTGGGGATGCTTGGAAAGGCAGACAGAGTAGCATGGCTTGTAGGACGCCTTTGAGGACTCTGCTATTGGCAAGAAGAAAATCTTCTATTATTTTGTCTCCTATATCCCCAGAACCTCAGAGAGTGAGAGGTAGGGCAGCATTGCTCACAGCCAGGAGGAAAACTGGAGTGAGAGGAGGAGGAAGCTGTCTCTTTAAAAACCAAAACCAAAAAACAAAAACAAAAACAAAAAAAACCCCATAAGGTCTGTGCAGCCCAGGCTAGCCTTGACTTCCCTATGTACCTGAGGATGACCTTGAACTCTCCAGTGCTGGCATTACAGGGATGCACCACTATTCCATTTGTATGGTGCTGGAGAGCAAACCCAGGGCTTCATGCATGCTAGCCAAATACTCCACCAACTGGACTGCATCCCCAGTCTCAAGCTATCACTTCTGGGCTCCTTCATCTCCCAGGGGTCCTCTCTATCCTCCAGGACCAGGTCTCATTTATGAAGTGTGACTTAATCAGGAGCCCTAGGCATTCCCGGAGCTCCAAAGTTACAATTGAGAAGGCCTCGTTCTGAATACCCTGAGCTGTGAGGAAACGCTTAGAGCGGGGTAAGGAAATGAAGAGAAGCGAGGCTTTCCTACGGCAGGACAAACAGCGCGGCCTCAGCTGCTCCAAACTGCACAGAGGGTCACCAGCCAGCCAGCACAAGCCACTAACACCCTGCTTCCTGCTCTGCCCTCCTGGGACTCATCCCACCCCCAGCCTCACCTGGATCCTCCCAAGCTCTTCCACATCAGATGCAAGGTGACCAACTGCCCCTGTCTGCTCAGCACCCAGGGGGCTCTTAGCATGTGGGATTTGCAGCTTCAAAATGGAACAGTCCCGATTAAATGAGGACAACTAGGTCACCCTGGATGGTGATGACATCTCTGATGAGCGTCTACCTGTTTTAGGACTAAGGGGTTGCCCTGTTTCCCTAGCATCCTGTGACTTCCAGGGTGATACCTAGGCATGAGGCAGATAAGGCTGGAGCAAGTCTGAGTGCCCATGGCACCAAGGTGTGCCTCTGCATCCATTCCAGTTCCCAGACTTTGATTTCCCCTCCTCTCAGCCATGGGACAGCACCCACACTGCACACCCCTTCCCCAAGCTCCGCTCTGTCACTAGAGACTCCGAGACACGTTACGTAACTTCTCTGTACCTCAGTTTCCTCATCTGCCGTGGGACTAGTGGTGCCTAGTTCACACCGTCGTCACAACAGGTGCATCACTGACTCTGGGTCACACTCTCAGGTTCTAGGATACACTAGAAGAACTTGAAAAGTTAAGTAAAGCTGCCCAGGCTGGTGGTTACTGCTTAGCACTGTGGAAGAACAGTTCAAACCCAGCAAAGACCCCGAAGACTGAGTCCGGGAAAGGCCTCGAGGCTTCCAGCTGGACTCTCGGCACGTTTGTGTGCATGATGCTTAATTTTCTCAGCAACGATGTGTGGCAGCATAGGTCAAGTCGTGCGGAGCAGCTCAGCTCCTCTGAGTATTAGTGTCCAGGTTTTTTATTGGTGGCTTATCTCTTAGGCAGAAAGCAGCGGCTGACCTTAGTTCCGCAGTCTGCAGCTCCCCTAGGGGTCAAACCGATACAGCATGATACAGGGTCCTGACCATAAACCACACTGTTAGCTAGCATAAACCATCTGGTGAGGATGGAGGAGGCCCCAGGGAGGAAGCAGTTAGTCCGTCAGTCAGGCTATTGCAAGGGCCCCGAGGCTCGTGGCCCAGAATCTTTTCAATGCAAACGTTTTTTTTTTTTCAAAAATGGCCTCATCCCAGATCAGCTGAGGCAACCCTTTAGAGCCCAGAAGTGTAATAACACCCAACATAGTTTCTGTTTCTTATCCGGGGATGGAGTCTGCTTCACGAAATCACCTGTATGTCGTCATGACTGCTACCGTACAGGATTAGATGCTTTCACCTGAACCTCTTCCTCATTGCTTATGTACTGGCCTCTTTCAGGATGGAAGGATATGTACTCAGATAACATCCTTGGCCTCTCTCTTTTCTCCCACCCAGAGAAAGGGGAGGACGTCCAGCCTAGTGAGTTTGGAGAACTGCTCACCCAGCTCACGCCACTTCCAGTCTCCCAAGCTTTCTCTGCTCACACCTCATTCCACACGTCCATAGATGCAGCCCTTTGGGGGACCCCCGGCTGTCCACCACCACCTGCGCTGTTCCTGGAGGTGACACCAGGTTTAGGGACAAGGTTCCAACTAGATGTGGCTGACAGATCCTAAACCACAATCTCAAGCAAGTTATCAGCTATCAAGGTGACATCTTGTCTCCATGAGCCTGTTTTCTGCGTTTCTCCTCAACTGGAGCTTAACCTGAGCAGGAAAAAGAGAGGTGACCCCCATTAGGCCCCTCAAGACCCCGAATGCACAGTCTTTCCAATGCTTGCAAAATCATGATTGGGCCTTTCCTAAAAATGTCCCTGCCAGGGTCCCCAGGTCCTTCTTTCTTGTCCCCTCCCCGGGATCTTCTGGTCTCTCCCACGCTCTGGTCATGCTTCCAGCTGTCTAGGACCCTCGAAATGTCAAGGTGTCAGATCAAAACTAAACATCGGTGGCTGCAGATGTGGTCTTGTTGCCACCAAGCGCCTAACTTCTTCTCAGAACACCACACACATCTTGAGTGCCTTTAGATCCTGTTTCCTCTACACAGGGCAGACCTCCGTTACCAGTCAAGCTCTTCTCCCATGCTACATTTGAAAACTGTGTATGTGTGCGTGCGTGTGCGTGTGCGTGTGTGTGTGTGTGTGTGTGTGTGTGTGTGTGTTCTCCCTCTGTCTTTCTTCAACTGTCTCTGCCTCTGTCTTTCTCCTGTCTCTCCCTATCTCTCCTCTCTCTTTCTCCTGTCTCTCTCCTCTCTGTCTCTCCTCTCTCAGTCTGTCTCTGTCTCTGTCTGTCTGTCTCTTTTCTCTCTGTGTCTCTCTTCTCCATCTCTGTGTCTGTCTCTCTCCTCTTCAACTGTCTGTCTCTGTCTCTCTCTCTCTGTCTCTCTGTCTCTCTCTCTTTCTCTGTCTCTCTCTCTGTTTCTGTCTATCTGTCTCCGGGATTTAGTGGTCTAAGAATCCCCCCCAGGAAACACTCCCCTCTCCCAGCGTTACCCTCAGCAGTTTCGGTACTTTGTCTCACCCACACTATACATCCATAAAGCTTTCCAAAACACTCCAGGACGGTTAAGAGCACAGAATAAAAGAGCTAGATGGTCCTAGGTTCAAATCCCAAGCCAGCAAGCTTTGATCTTGGGCAATTTATTGGGCTTGAGTCTTGGTTCCCTCATAATGCTGAAGTGAAGTGTGTCACGGTGTGCACTGTGGCTGATGACTCTGGGCTCTTCCGTGGTTATCAATATTACTGTCGCTAATCGCTGCTTCAGCTAAACTGGAGCAGAAGCTGCCTAGAGTTAGAGCAGAGACACAGCCCTTCTGGGTGGGTGGTTGACGGATGGATATTGTGCTTAACCATGGGTCACAAGGTCCTTTGGTGAAGGCCAACTTGAGGGGATCCAAATATTTGCATATTATTTGAGAGAGTCTGTAAATAAAAGAAGGGGATGGGTGAGGCCACATTAAGTCAGAGGGTTCTGAGCCTGGCTACAAGCTCTGGACTAGAGAGACCTCCAGGTCCTCAGGCTGATGTATGGCAGCATTTGGGAGGGACCAGCGAAAGAATATACGCGTCAGTGAAATGGGCTGATGATAAACACAAGTCACAGTGACTGCTAACGGCTCCCGTCACACACGTTGTTCCAGGACCCCAGAAGGGACTAGCCCAAAAACAGTCTGGTTGGTTCAGGGGTTTGTGAGGCCGAACGATGTTAAATGGGCGTGAGTGGCCTGGACTGGGAGCGCTAGTCATCCATTAACGTGGAGAAAACAGAGGACAGCGCTCTGCTTCTTGTGGCCAGTTTACCGTATGAAAACAGCTCTGTCCTGCCTTCAGGAGATGCCTGTGGGAGCAGAGGATGGGGGGGTACATTGTCTCATCGATGACGGCACACCCTAGCGACTCCTGCTCCATGAGTCACATGCAGGTGTCACTTTCACTGTTTTCTTGTGCCGTCTCCCAGGTGTCACCTGGAGATCAGTGTGTTCTCCCGGCCGGCCGAGCCCTAACAAGGCCCACCACAAGCAGCAACCAGTCTACAGACGAAACCGAGAGGAAGCCGAGCTCTACAAAAGCAGGAAGGGAAAGAGACAGACGACAGCCCAGCGACACCAGCAGACTGAAAAACCAAGCAGTGAGGGCAGGAATCACACAGTGCAGCCATCTGAGGCCATTTCAGGACGTGGGCCATCCCCCTCACGGTGTAGACCCCACGTTGACCCGCGCCAGTAAAACCGATGGTTAAGTGATGAATCACGAAAGCCTGGAGTCATTAAAAGAAAGGTAAATCTGTTCAACACAACCAGTTTCAAGAATATGCAGGAGAAAGGGCTACACATCCAAGCAACTGTACCATTACAAACAGGAAGCAGTTGGAGTGAAGGTTACAGGTCCTTCCTTGAGGGAGCTGGATAAATGGAACTTCACCCAAAAAAACTTATTTTTTTCCTTTTTTTTTTTTTTTTGTCTCTGTGTGGTGGTAGCAGGAAAGCAATAAAAATGGGGAGAGGGAATAAATGGGGACTTAGCGTTTGTCCTTCCATTAAAAAAAAAAAAACACAATCGTCCAGTTGCCCGCCAGCCCAGGCGCATGCGCGCGGGCCCTTCAGTCGTCCTGGCTCTTCCTGGTGACTCGCAGCGGGTCGTGGCTCCTGGCCAGCATGTTCTCCAGCCGCTGGCAGTGTTCCCGAAGCTGCTTCTCCCGGGGCAGGAGGAAGGTGAGCACCTTGTTGCGAACGATGCCCCGGTCCTCCTCCTCCCTCAGCCGCTGCTTCACGCGAGCGGCCTGCTCCTCCTGCTGGGCCAGGACGCCGTTCATCTCGCAGAAGGCGTCCTCCAGGTAGCTGATGGCCTTCAGAGCCTCCTTCTTGAAGTCCTCCAGCTCCCTTTGCACCGCGGCCACTTTCTGCTGCAGGATCTCCAAGTCGGCTGGTAGAGGGAGGCAGGAGGACCATGAGTGAGACAGGGAAAGGTCCCCAGACTGGAGCCCACTCTCCACCATCTTCCTGCCCTGTAAGGTATTCACCTTCATAAGGATGGACCCTGCCTGAAAGAGGGCTTCCATCATCTCCTCCTACAGAGAGGAAGCCAAGAAACCAACTGCGTCAGTTATTTGGGGGCTAGAGGCACTGTCATTTGGAGTGGATAGACCCATCTCATTGTGACATCAAGGCCCGTCAGCCAATCAGAAGGAAAGCTCCAGTTCACTACTTTGCATACTGCAGCTTCCTTGGCTGAGAACTTAACAACTGTGCTTGCTTCCCAAGTCTCCTGAGCCGAGGCTTCTCATTAATTCAGAACCGGAGTCCAAGCGTTCCTTTAACCCCCAAGGACAAGCTAAATCCCAGAGAGTGGAAAACACTGGCCAAGACAAGGTAGGCCAGGTCAGGTTCACAGACTGCCGAGACTGAGCAGCTTCCCACCCCACAAGGAGCACGGACCGTGTTACGGCCTGGTATCTGGGCTTCCTTCAGCCTCACCAGTGAGACAGGGTCCTCATAAGAGATGATGGCCGATTCACAGCTCTAAGATGCTAAAGGAGTATTCTAATCCCGAATCCATATCCTTCAACGATGCCAGAAGGGTTAGATGATCTTCTTGTTGGGATAAATGTGCTTGCTTTTGAAGTGGGGTCCACAGAAATACCCGACGGATAAAAATGAGCCGTTCATATTTATTCAGTAAAAACTTGCTGAGTGCTCACTGGGTTCTGGAACTAGGGGACGAGTGTGAGTAAGTACATGTTCCTCAGCATATCTGGATGGTGGCAGATAAGAAAGGGGAAAAAATGTGGATGGGTAAATCTTGTGTTTTTGCCTGGTTACTATAGTTTCTAACCACATTTGGCTCACAAACCTCTGCCTTTGCAGATTGCAATCTCTTGCCCAGACCTCCCTCCAGGGCTCCAAACATAAACATCTCCCCAAGGACCAGCCTCGAAGCCAATCCTTCTAGTGCTAGACAAATGACCTCTTTACCCAAGCTGGTTCCGGCTCTGCTGTCCTACGAGGGACCCTAACTGGGGCAGCAGCCATGACAGCATCTGGTGCCATGGTTTGGATGTCTGTCCCCTTCCCAATTCGTTTTGAAACTCTGTCATCCTCTCAGTGTTGAGAAGTGGTGGTGGGGGGGGGCTTTAGGAAGCAGCGTGTAGTAGATGGATATTGCCATCTCCAGAGTGGGTCCCTTATCGAAGTCTCTGCTTGCCCCCTTCCTGTGTCTTCTGCCATCTTTGCCTCTCTGCCGTGGGTACCTTCCACACGGGGCGGTACAGCATGAAGGTCCTCACCAGACACCAGCACCTTGGTCCTGGACTTCTCTGTTTCTGGAATTATGCTATTCTAAGGAAATAAATTCTTTTGTCGTCATCTTGTAGATTTCGCCGCCTCTGATATTTTATTTTGTCACTGCAGAACAACACAGAGGGAGCCCCCTGGAATCAGCTCGACTCCTTCACATCCAAGCGACCTCAGAGGCCGTCAGGTCTCTCGTCTCTGGGCACCCTCTCGTCCACCCTCCTGCACCGTGGGCCCGGCCTCACCACTTGGAAGCCATGTCTTGGCATTAGGTGGACACCTTTCCCCTTTGGGCCTGTTTCCTTCCTGGAGTCTCTGAGAGCCGTGGCCTACAGCTCTCTGGGAGAGAGAAATAAATCTCTGACGGGCAGATGCTGCCAATTTCCATAGTGTAAATACTCCCAGCATGGATAATTTTCAAGCTACCAACTTGCTGTCTCCGGGAAGTGAAGCACCAAATGAGCCCTCCTGAGCCGGGATAAGCCGACTCCAGCACCAGCAGGGCCCACGGTGAGGGCTGCTGCCTTCTCTGAGATGCAGATAGACTGTCTAATGGCCTGCATAGTCATCAGAGAGGGCCTATTGCAGGGACAGGCGCAGCTAAGTGAAAGTGGGACTTTGAATTGCAAGAAACTCCAATTACTGAGAAGGAACGTTGAATGGAACGAGTAACTAGGAGTCAGGGAAGCCAGAGTCGGGAGCCGCTCTGTGGTCCCGGATCAGTCATCCCCCGTCTCTGAGCCTGCTCCCCCAGTTGTGATGGGAGAGGTGGGAGAAGGTTTCTCTGCAGACTCCGGTGTTCAACGCCCCCCCCCCCCCCAATAGCCTTCCTTAGCCTCCCTCCCCTCTTTCCGTCACTTACGACTGTTACCTGGTTCTTCCAGGACCCTTAGGCACAGTAAACCCCAGCAAACAGCAATCATGTATTCCTAGACCTGTTTACGGTTAAGTGTCCTGCCTGCTGCCCTGCATACAATGGCGTGCAGATAACTACAAGAAATGGAATTTCGTTCCGTAGGTGGCTCTCCAGCGCCGGGCACCCCAAGCTTTTCTGCTGACACATTGACACCTACTGGCCTTCCCAGAAACCGCAGCCTCAGAATTGCACCTAAGAGTGGGTGGGGACCAGGGGGTTGATGGAAACAGCATGGGGGTCTGTGCTGTATTTAATTAGGGCTGAGTGTGGGGCATGTAATGGGTTCTCCATCAATAAATAATATTTCTCGGATTAGTGAAAGGGAGAACAAAATCAGTGTGTCTCCTCTAGTCTCGTCCCTCTCCCTCTTCCCCCTCCATCTCCTCTCTCATTCTTTGCCTCTTTGTTTCACACGGGTCACAAGTCACAGCTGAAACTGTGACACAGAAGCTGAAAGCTGAATTGGGAGCGCTTTCTCAGTTCCTCTGGTGCTGTTGAATGAAGCTCCAGTTTGTTTCTCGGAACCAGAAGGATCCCCCTTATCCTAGGATCGACAGGAAACTGAGACCTGGGGCTGTTGCCAGGCCTGTGGTCTCCTGAGCCTTCCGGACTGTGACTTACACCGAATAGGCAAGTTCTGAACTTTCCCCTGTGCCAGGAAGTCCCCCAATCAGGCCTGGCCTTGCGCACCACCTGCCCCCCATATGTCTTTAGAATTAGGACTGCTGATCTATCTGTTCCCTTCAAGGTATCAGGAGAAAGGGATTTAGACCTATCAAAGCATCCATGACCTTGAATCTCATTGTCATGAGGGCCCCTTGCCTCAGTCTCTTTCAGCTTGTCACAGCTTCCCTGTGACTCAAGATGACAGGGAGACATGAGGGATGAGGCAACTTTACAGAGACCCAGGCCTCACCCCCTGGGAGTCCAGTTCAGTCAGAATGGGTCGAGGCTCGTAGATGGCATGCCTTAAAGCTACTGAGTTTGAACATAACGTGTGACCCGGGTTCTGAATACCATTTCTTCTTGACCTGGGCACCTCAGGAATGGAAACACACAGCTTCCCTCCCAGTCCCCTGTGTTTTCGCCTCTGTCGTGGGATAGACCCCAACCCTTTGGGGAATTAGAGAGGACACCCACTCCCGTCTCTCCTGTCACCTCTTTGTCAAGTCACAGAACCCTAAGAAACCAGAAGCTCCTCATGCCCTGTTAGAATGGCGTCCCCAGCCATTTCAAATCCACAGTCTGCTCTAACCCAAAGTTGGCTCACACAGTCACACTTCTCTTCCTGGGCTGATACATAGGCCTCCCAATATCAGAACCAATTGGGGATTTGTACTCAAATAAATGACGAGAAGAACAGGCAACCAACTATGTCTTCCACGAAGAGTGGGTGTATTGTTAAGACCTTGCTTAATCCTCAGATGATCTTTTTTCGTTTGTTTGGTTGGTTGATTTTTTGAGACAGGGTTTCTCTGTGTAGTTTTGGTGCCTGTCCTGGATCTCACTCTGTAGACCAGGCTGGCCTCAAACTCACAGAGATTCACCTGGCTCTGCCTCCCAAGTGCTGGGATTAAAGGTGTGCGCCACACCACCCAGCCAGATGAACTTACTTTATATAATTTATTTTATGTGCATTGGTGTGAGGGTGTCAGATTCTCTGGAACTAGAGTTACAAACAGTTGTGAGCCATGTGAGTGCTGGGAATTGAACCTGGGTCCTCTGGAAGAACAGCCAGTGCTCTTAACCACTGAGCCATCTCTCCAGCTCCTGTCAGAAGAACTTCTTATATCACCATTCAGGCGGTAGCTATCTCTTTTCATTCTCCAATGCTGGAGAAGTGGATTTCAGAGCAATATGCCATACTCCCAAAGAGCATGTGAGCAGCTATTTCTAGAAAAGGAGACAGCTGTGGATTCTAGCCATTCTTTTCATAGACTCCCCTGGTCCTATGCCTCTCATGATGGTTACACTGGCCTAAGACAGGTCTCTATCCAAACACCTCTTCCAGGTAGGCTTTCACCCATCCATCCATACATCTACTCATCTATCTACCCACCTAGTCATCACCCATCCATCCTCCTCCCGTTCATCCTCCCACCCATCTATCTACCTAGTTTTCCATCCATTCATCCATCCATCCATCCATCCATCCATCCATCCATCCATCCATACACATATATCCATATACATACATTGCATGCTTACCCTGTGTTCTCTGAGCTAGGCAATAGGTGTTCAAGAGGAAGAACAAGACATAGAAGAAGGTCCTGCTCAGGGACAGCCAGCATTTCACTGCAAGAGGACAAACAGTGAGGTAAGCATATGGCCACGGGGCTGGCATCCGGTCCCTGAAGGTAAGAGTCAAGTTGTAGGAAGCCCCGAGGCTCAGCAGAATGAGGGGTTTGTGAGGTGACGCTCTGGGGAAGATGAGACACAAAGACTGAGAGAGACTTGGAGATAATGTTCTAGGGGACTGTTGTAGGGAGGAAATGGGGGGGAGGGGGGAGAAGCAAAGGAAACCTGGGTCTTGCTGTGTGTCTGAAGGCAAGCAGCAGCAGCAGGCAGCGATGACGGGCGGGGCGGGACCAATGGGGAAGGGGGAAGAGGGTTTCCCTCATGCTGGGTGTGTGAGGGCCATGTGGGGCTGCTGCAGCTCTGGGCAGTTTCCAACTCTGCAGCTGGTATCCCAGGCTGGGCAGTGAGAACAGACTGGAGTTGGGGGGTGGGGATGAGGATGAAGAACAAAACTTGGTGCTGTTCACCATGATTAATTAACCCAGCGCCAGAACCCCCAAGGCACGGTGCTAAAAATACCTGCTTCCCTCTGAGATGCGGCAGCTGCCACCCAGCAACTTTTAGCCATGCCATTTGTCATAATTTGACACTGCTAAGGAGTGTCCACAGGGCTGTGTTTCTGCAAGAATCGGACTCGTCCAGAGCCCACCAGCCAGCTGGTCCTTAGAACCCGCCCATGGTACATTTCTACAGTCTCTTTTTGTGTCTCAGAGCCCTGCCTGAGCTGCATCTGGATGTGACTGGCACCTGCCTGAAGCTTGCCTCCTCCCAGAAGGGAAAAGACCTGCCTCCAGAGGTGTGAGCCAATGCATTCGCCAGTGCATCCTCGGATGCCATGTTTCACACCACCGCCGCCCTGCACCTCGGATTGCAGCCATCTATCAGAGGCCCTGCCAGCCCAGGGCGGCACTTTAATTAAAATATGTAAAACATGCTGGTGAGAGTTGGCTCTGAACACACAGGAGCCTGCCTTGGACAGAAGTAGTGCAGGTCAGACCAGCTTGGAGCTGGCCCTTCTCCAGCCAGGGAGGGTAGGGCTGCCAGGGGGGCCCCTCCTGAAGGCTGGGGGCAATGATGTCTGAGACGCAGCATCCTCTGAGGCACAGTAGCCTGGGCAAGCAAGAAAGTCTGTTCAGTAGAGAGCTGCAGCAAGTCCACAGACCAGCACTTCTACCTCATGAGCTGGAAATGTGTGACATCAGCTACTAGTATTGGGAGCTATAATATTCTGTTCCCATCTTCAATACTAATTTTATCAAGACAGTTGTGAAATTAATAACTGATGCTGATTTTTTAATGCAGCACTGGGGATTTTTAAATTTTTATTTACTTTTTTATGTATGTGTATGAGTGTTTTACCTGTGTGTATGTCTGTGCACCTACCTTGTGGGTACCTGGTGCCCATGGAGGCCAGAAGAGGGTGTTGGATCCCCTGGAACTAAAGTTACAGACAGTTGTGAGTTGTCATTTGGGAGCCGAGTATTAAACCCAGGTCCTCTGGAAGAGCAGTCAGTGCTCTTAACCACTGAGCCATCTCTCTAGCCCTAGCAATGGGGATTAAACTCAGGGTCTCACACATGCCACTGATCTATATTCTCTTCTCTCTCTCTCTCTCTCTCTCTCTCTCTCTCTCTCTCTCTCTCTCTCTCTCTCTCCTCTCTCTCTCTCTCATAGTCATGGATAGATGGCTATATGTAGAAACATGCTTGAATGCCTGTGGAGGCCAGAGGACTCTGGTGTTATTCCTCAGGGGCTTCCCACCTTGTTTTGACTGCAGGGTCTCTCACTGGCCTGGGCCTGTCTCTGTGTCCCCAGCTTTTTTATGTAGATGCTTGGGACTGAACCAGTTTCAAGCACTTTGCCGACTGAGCCACCTCCCTGGCCACACTCCTCTCCTTCCCTTCTCCAACTTTTATTTTGAGACAGGATCTCATTAAGTAACTCGGCTGGTCTTGAACTCACTCTGTAGTCCAGGCAGGCCTTGAACATGTGGTCCTCCTGTCCTTTCCTCCATAGATGATAGAATTCTTCAAGACGTTTCAGTATCCCAGGACTCTGCATCTTCCCAAGTGTGATCCTGCTTCAATCTTTGCTCTCTACTGAGGAAGAATGGTAGAGCCTGCATCACTTAGGGCAAGGATGAGCAAACATTTTTGTGCAAAATTAGAAAGGAAAAAAAAATTTTTTAGGTCAGAATTTTCACACAAACTTCAGGAAGTGCCACGCTTGCATATTGTTTAAAACATCATTTAAATCTGCGTCCCCATCATTGAGGGTGTTCAAGGTTCTTACTGGAATGTTAAAAAGCGTCCAGAAGCATCCCGGGCAGCCTTCTGACGGCCGGGTTCAGCCTGAGCTGCATTTTCTGTACAATCATGTGGAATTTAGAGCACAGAGGGATCTAGGACTGGGGAGTCCAGTTGGATTCTGAGCCCCACCCTGGACCTGTGGCAAAAATAGAAAAAGCCCCAGAAGGTGTTCAGGGTCTGGAGAAGCAACCCCCAGGGGTGTGACCGGAAGCATGTTTCTGCAGAGTTGGAGGAGGAGGTGAGAGCCCGGCACAGCCCGCCGAGGCTCTGCCCACTTTCAGCTCTCCCCAGGGGAGGGGAGGGGAGGGGTGCCCACCACCTCCAAACTAACCTCTCTGCAAAGAAAGCCAGTGGGCAGTCCTCCAGCCAGGAGCAGCTCTCCGGGGGGCCAGATCTACGCTTGTGTGTTGTGGTGTCAGGCTGAATTATGTGAGTTTAAAAACCAAATCCCCTCTTCCTGAGTTACTCAACTGTTTGCTTGGCAAGGCAGGAGATGACCGGTGACAGGAATCTGGGCCTGCTGGTCGCTCCAGACGGAGAAGCTTTGATAACCTGGAAAACTCCAGACACCGGGACTCCTAATGATGAGTAATGAGCCCGACGTAGGAAAGTTATCCGGAACGGCTGCACACGCAAGGCTCCCGACCGCCTGGGCCTGGGCCAGGGAGATGGACACAGTCTTCTAGGGTCTGGGGGAGGAGCTTGGCCCACTCCCACTCCTGGCCAGCTCCACCCACAGTCCTGCAGCGAGAGGTACCTAGGCTCTTTTAAGGGTTGGTCAGAGTTCGTCTTTGCATGGTTCAGAAGGCAGAAACTGGAGAACAAGAAGTTTAAGTTCACTCGGTTACATACTGGATTAATGGTCAGTCCAAACGGACTACATGAAAACCCTATCTCAAAGAAAATAAAGTATAGCTTCCTCATTCATTCATTCATCATGTCTATTGAATGTTCCAAATACAGCTGAGCCTGAATGGGGCTTCTATTCTGTGGGAATTTTCAATCTCCCCTGGCCATAGACTCTGTAGCTCAACATCACAGACTGTGAAGAAGGGCTTTGAAAGAAATGACTGGGGCTGGTGAGTTGACTCAGAGGTTAAGAGCACTGGCTGCTCTTCCAGAGGTCCTGAGTTCAATTCCCAGCACCCACCTGGTGCCTCACAACCATCTGTAGTGAGATCTTGTGCCCTCTTCTGGTGTGCAAGCATACTCACAGAACACTGTGTACATAGTAAATTTTTTAAAAATCTTAAGAAAAATGAGTTTAAGAAAGAAAGAAATGGCTGGAGGGTGTCAAGCCCTCCAGAGGAAGGGACTCTGAGTTAGTCTGTCCTTTCTGGCAACAGGGACAAGAAATAAGCTGGAGGTGAAATCCGGATTCCCAAGCCACACTAGGCTTGGGGGTTCAGTTATACTCTGGGAGCATTCCTAGTGTTCAGCTGTACCTACGTCTCTCCCGCCACATTTCCCTCCTGCCCTGATATTAGTGGGGTATGTATATGTTAACCCCGAGTGTCCTTTTGCTTCGTGGAAACTTAATCCCAGAGATCCTTAACCTTTGGGGCATGTTGGAATCATCTTGGGAGAGTGTTAAAAATTGTTCAGGCCTAGGTCTGACCTCCAAAAGAATAAATCAGGAGGTTTTGGTAGGGTAGAGTTAAAATGGTTGGTCACATGGTTTTCTCAGAACTATCGATTCCAGGATGTGAGACTCTGACTTTTAAATCAGGGACAGTTCTGGGGAAATCAGGACAAGTTGCTCCCCCACTAGAGCATGCACTGTAGCTGTTAGCCAGTAACATTCCTTTGTTCCTTGAGTCACAGAATCCCAATTTTAATCATGTGGTGTGGTGCTTAAGCTGCATCGTCAGCTTGGTAGCATTTGGAATCACCTAGGAAACACAGTTCTGGGCACGTCTGTGAGGGTGTTTCCAGACTTAACTGAAGAGGGGAGGGTGGCTCTGAATGTGGGTAGGCAAGGGTCCTGAAGGGAGCACAAAGGGAGAAGTGGGGTGAGCATTACCATCCTGTCTCCCCACTTCTGCTGTGGACACCCTGTGACCTGCTGCCTCCTGCTTCCCCACTGCGACAGCCACCCGCAAACCGTGAGCCAAAGCAGACCCTTCTTTCCTCATGTGGCTTTCGTCCAGTATTTTCTCACAGCCACACGCCAAGTAATGAAGGCCTGAGGAGACAGCGCAGTTGGTCAAGTGGTCTTCAACCACGAGGGCCTGAGTGTGACTCCCAGAATGAGTGTGAAAAAGCCAGGTGTGGCAGTGTATGCTGAGGTCCCAGTGTTGTAGAGGCAGAGACAAGAGGACTGCCGGGGTTTGCTGGCCAGCCAGACTAGCCTACTTGATGAGTTCCAAGCCAATCAGAGAATCTGCCTCGAAACCAAACAGATAAACCAAAACCAAAAAAATAGAAGGTGGTCAGCTCCTAAATAATGACACCCAAGGCTGTCCTCTGGCCTTCACACACATACACAGACACAGACAGACAGACAGACAGACAGACAGACACACACACACACACACACACACACACACACACATTCACACATGCATACATAGACAGAATGATAAGCACCCCCTCTTGCATGTCACTTTGGGGATACTTCCTTCCAGAATGTCCAGCATTCCATGTGTGCCCTGGAATTTTTTTCTTCCCAGAAGGAACACTGTTAAGTGGTCACACAGCAAGCATGCCAGAATGAACAATAATTTATTCAAAATAAGTGACACCGTGCCAGGCGTGGTAGCACAGGCCTGTAATCCCAGCCCTGGGGAAGAAGAAGCAGGAAGATCAGGAGTTCGAGCCCGCCCTTGGCTACGTAAAGAGTTCAAGGCAGGCCTGGGATACGTGAGACTCTGCCTCAAACAAACACTTACAGCCCCAGGCATCCCAACAGCAGATGTGCTGTTCTCCGTGGGCCGAGCACAGGGCTTTCCACACATCACCCTTTCACAGCTTCAGAGCCACCAGGCCAGGAGTGTCTAGCAAGGCTCTTTGGCCCAGACAAATTAGGTTCATGGGCCTTGAGGCAGCGGCTTCGTTTTGCTCATCTTCCATTCAGACTTAGCCAATGAGACTAAAAAGCCATAAAATATTTAAACCATGGCGCCACTTCTGCTGTGGGGTCCAAGTCAGTAGTACTGTCAACTGTGACTGTTGACCAGCAGTCCCTAGGGATGGCTCAGAGTGCCGCTGGCAGCTGACGTTTGACATGTGGAAGGCACCTGGTGGTTTGGAGGTATGTTGTCAGAAGGGAGGCCTCTGCCAGATTCCCGTCTCTCCTCTCTCATTCAGGGGCTGAGTGTCTCTAATTCCCACTGCTACGGGCCTGGATTTGAGCTCATCTCTCAGAAGGCCAACCCCGGCCACCCCTCCAGTCCTTGGAGCATTGACTGCATTTCAGGTCTTACTCAATCCCACAGACAGACACACCTTCAGGTCTCAGACAGCCACTGGTCTGGACACTCAGTTGGTCTCGTTTATGATCATCACTGTCCTCGACTTACAGCAACTAGGTAATTGTCACAGCCAAGAAGGAAACCCCAAATGTTTTTTTCCTCTATAGGAAAACTGTATAGGGTTGTTACTAAAGGTGTGATAGGGTCTGAAA